CCCAGATGATGGAACTTTGTTTGATGGAGATAATAACGACAGGATATGTGATGAGGCTCTCTACCGCTGATGGGTTTCATACAACACCATTGGTAACCCAACTACGGTAATAACACCCATTTCCTCCACCCAGGCATTATGTGACAGTTAAGCAAATATTTTCCACCTCAGCAGATTTTATGGACAAATTACAGATTTTTCTCTCTCCAGTTCCCAGATGATGGAACTTTGTTTGATGGAGATAATAACGACAGGATATGTGATGAGGCTCTCTACCGCTGATGGAGAATCAAGGCACAGGATACTGAATTTTCATGTTTTTAAAGACTTTCTTATTCCACCTGACTTATAGATGCAGTAAAACTGAACCATTATTCAAAAAAAAAAAAAAAAAAGAATAATTAAATGTAAATCACAATAATAACTTTTTTACATTAGATATCTAAGTGCTTTGTATTCTCATAAGTGAGATTTTGCAAGCAAAAGAGGCGTGGGATGAAAAGGTGAATAAGCATCTAGAAATGGTTAATGTTGCACTCAGCGTGCTTCAGCTGTGAGCCCCCACGCCTGAGGATGGACAAAAGTTTCTCTTAAACTTGCAGCCACCTACCTCAAACTTTAAGGAACCTTGTTCCCTTAAAATCTGCCTGCTGGGACCCCCCATCCGTGGCGTCACAGCGATGCTCTCCCGGGATGCTGCTGGGGGGGTGAATGTGTGTGAGTCTCAGTGGGAACTAGAGACATCCCTGCCCTCACCTGCCTCTTCCTCACGCCTCTGCCCCTTGCTGCCAGCCTGAGTTTCTGTGGGGCTTGAGGTGAGATGCCAGGCTGAGATGTGGACGTGCATCTTGTTTTACCAGCTCTGCTAAGGGAGTGCTGGCATCCATCGGGGAGACGGGGCAGCAGCAGAGGGGTGATGTCTCAGCCACCACAGTGAGACCTGCAGCAGCACAGGTACCAGACACCCCGCTTCTCTCTGCCTGTCCCCAAGGACAGCGGGAATCCAAAGAAAGAGAGGGGTTCCCTCAGGCTTCACAGGAAGGCAGGTGGGCAAACGTTTTGGTCAATCATTAGCCATCATTCACACAGCACTGGAACAGAGAGTCACAGACCAGGGAGGCAAAAGCATCCCGCAGAGGCAGCGAGGCAAGCACAGGACCGCACAGCACAGCTTGGGAGAAAGGCTCAAAGGAGTGAACACACCAAAAAAATGAACCCTTCTACAACATAAACAAGTTTCCAACTCTTTTTCACCGAGTATTTTTTTTCTTTTTTGCTGAAGATCAAAAAGCAATGATATCTCTGAAATCTATTTGAGATGTATCTTTTTGTTTGTTTGTTTGTTTGTTTGAGGTGAGCACACCAAAAAAATGAACCCTTCTACAATGTAAACAAGTTTCCAACTATTTTTTTCACAGAGTATTTTTTTTTCTTTTTTTGCTGAAGATCAAAAAGCAATGACATCTCTGAAAGCTATTTGAGATGTATCATTTTGTTTGTTTGTTTTTTGAGATATCTTTTCTTCGCCTGCCTTCCTCTTTCCAGCCTCAGGAGATATCTTTTCTTCGCCTTCCTTCCTCTTCCCAGCCTCAGGAAGAAAAAAATCTCAAACTACAAAGCTGTATGTGGAGAGAAAATTTTCAGGCAGAACCCTGAAGCAGACGGAAGAAGAGGAGGTGGTAAGAGGGAATGAAGGCATGGGAAGAAGGGGAGGTAATAAAAGGGAATGAAGACATGGGAGCAGCAGCACCTTCCCCGCAAAGCGGCACAAACGTGCGGAGACCGGAGCGCTCCAGCGGCCGTCACCGCATTCAGCTCCCGGCTGCGGTGGGTGCCGCCGGCCGCCCGGGGCCGAGCTCCCTCCGGTGCCGGCGGAGAGAGCCGTCACCCGGGCTGCAGGCTCCCCGCCGACGGGGCGGCAGTGCCCGCATCCCCACCTCCGGTGCCCCCGGTCCCCGCAGCCCGGACCCCCCCTCCCCTCCGGGCCGCGGCGCAGCGGCGCCACCTGGCGGTGCGGAAGGTGCCTCGCGGGTGCCCGTCCCCAGCCACCGCGCGGCAGCGCCTTCCCCCGGTGTCACCGGCTTCCTCCCGGTCCTGGAAACGGGTGGGAGACCCCACGCTGTGTGACTGTGGAAGGCTCCGGGGAGACCTGCCAACCCCCTCCGGTACCTAAAGGGGCTACAGGAAAGGCGGCGAGGGAGCCTTGAGCAGGGAGCGTACAGAGAGAAGGAGGGGTAACAGTTTTAAACTGAAAGATGGGAGATTTAGATGAGGTATTAGGAAGAAATTCCTCACTGCAAGGATGGTGAGACGCTGGCACAGGTTGACCAGAGAAGTTGTGGATGTCCCACCCTTGGAAGCGTTCAAGAATCTTTGAGCAACCTGGTGTAGCAGGAGGTGTCCCTGCCCACAGCAGGGGTCTTGGAACTAGATGATCTTTAAGGTCCCTTCCAATTTAAACCATTCTATGAGTCTCTGACTTACAAAAAAAATTGCTACTTCTAAACAGCAGAGGCTCAGGCCTTTGTTTATCAGAACACATGCATCTGATGCATCAATCAAAGTCCCCCGAGGGGCGAGGTGACAGGGTGAGGTTCACCACACACCACCCGTGAAGCTGAGCCCTCTCCTGCAGCCAAAGGCAGTCTGACCCTCAGCTGCTCTGCACCGGCTACTGGAACTGTGGCCACCAGTTCCCCCTCAGGGTCCAGTCCCTGGGGTAGGGAGTAACATCCTCACCTGGAAGGTGTTCTTCCAGAGCTGAACCCAGGTCACGGATCCTAAGTCACGACGAAGTGATGCTCTGTGCAAGCCAACGGGCACGGTCCAGCCCAGCCTGTCCCTCATCTTCTGCAAGAACCACAGGGGCACAGAGTATCAGGCTGCCTGGCTTTAACTGCACTCTTGGTTTAAATAGGGCTCTGATAGGCAGGAATAGCGTGAGTAAATAATGAAAAAATGCTTGCTTTAAATAGAAAAATTAGGTTCCACCTTGTACGTATGCAGCAAACATACCTACACACTTAGAGAAGCAGCACACATTTTAGCAACAAATAAAACACCTAGGTTCTGTTTCAATGTGGACTCCTAACTTCAGTGCATTTTAAAGCACATATATGCCCATATTATTACGTCTAAGAATTAGCCCTAAACAAATTCCCCAGGAAAACACTATAATTCCTGTCTTTAGAGGACAGTCTCTGCCTAGCAATTAGCAAGCAGGAATGCCAGTTTTCCAGTCAACAAACCTATTCTCTCTATTTAAATATTGCTTGCTGACTGCAGAAGGAAAAGATTAGACCACTGTGGATTCATGTTAGCCAAGAAAAGCTCTCAGCCAACGTGCTGGGCTCGCTCTTTGTCTGCTTATTACATTTCATCATAGCCACTCAAAAAGCAACGGGGCTCCATTCATATCAGGAGGAAATTTGACTGAAAATAAACCACACGAACAGAAGGTGTTGTTTGGCCAACAGTTGTAATTGGTACTGCTGTCCAAGACAGAAAAGGACCCAGATTAGATGTTGGCCAAACCAAGCACATACAGGCAGCAAGTATTTCTTGATCCCAGCACGCTTTAAGGGAACCTCTTCCTCTTTGCAATGCAAAAGGTTCTGCACAAGCTTATGTTGTTTGTGAAAATTACTCCTAGGGTACAGAAGGCAACCATAAAGCATAGAGTTCCTCACCTTCTTTCAGTTACATTTTTAGATGGATATATTTCTCTGGCACACAACTACATTATGTAAACTAATTTCCTCATTTTTGTCTTCTCCTCTTCCTTTTCTATAGCTCTATTCAGTCAGTTGCACTAAGAATAGGCTGCTGGAGGCTGGAAAGCAGGCACTGCTCCAGCAGTTCAGCTGATACGAAATTGATAATAACTTGAAGAAACATCAGCTGAAAAACCAACTTACATCCTTCCGTTCACCCGATTCCTTTCAGGGTCAACTGCGTGGGCATGGAGGTAACATCACTTACCTATCACAAAAGCAGTCACAATCAGGATTACCGTTGCCTCAGCACTTCAAGAAGCATGAAGATTCAGTTGCTCTCCATTCCTCATTCTTCTCCACTTCTTGCTTTACTGGTATAACTTGCTTCTTTTTAGTATTTCAGCAAAAACAGGATGTGATGTTGATCCATTGATCATGACACACCACCCGCTTACAGACACGCGGGTAATAATGAGGCTACTTCAAACCAATCCCAGGCCACTTCATTCTTTTATCCATTTCCCCCTCTATAGCATGCTGAGATACAAGGTGGGATCATTCCATAAGGAAAGAATTAAAACAGTAACAAAACACAATTAGCATTTCCCAGGCTTGGGAATTCATAGCCGTCAGTGCAGCTGTTGGTATAAACATTGCTGCACTTTTTGAAAAAAAAAACAAAACCCTAAAATCCATCACTGTTTTAAGGTGGCTGATTTTCCTCTTCCCAACAGACAAACTCAACACTTTTTTACTGCAAGCAGCGATTTAGTTCCTCAGTTCCTAGAATTCAGCAGAGCCTCTGCAGGGCTTCTTCTTTTTAGGCTACAGCTATGAAGACTTGGACTCCTTGATGCAAGTTTCACTTAAAATTCAAATGGATCCTTAAATTTGAGTTCAACTCCAAAAGTTACTATTTCACCAGTTCCTCAGAGGAGTCTCTCCCCCTCCAGTGCTCCAGCTTCCCTGCTTCTCTCCCTCAGGAGAGCGTTCCTGGATGTGAGCTGCTGCAGCCCAGCCTTTCCCTACCATAGGTCCCTTCCTCCTCACACCCTGTGGGGCTGCCAGCAGGAACCTGGCTCCAGGTGAGCCCCCAGGAGACTGCAGCGAGTTATCCATCCATCTTCCCTGCCCCCTGATTTCTCAGCACCTTATGACCATGGCCTTCTAGCAGGTCTAATAGGACCTCTTTGGTTCAGTCAGGCTCCAAAGGTCCAAGGGATGAAGGCCTTACCCAACAGCAGTGATCAGTCAATAAAAGCAGACATTGGTACAAACCTTTATTATCTCACACCTCCTTGCCACAGCCATCATTGAAACAACTGACATTCATATTTTACAGGTACCATAAAAAGTTACAAAGTGTAACATGTGCTTTATAGTTCACAAGGGAACAATTCTTGAGGACTGATGTGTAAAGAGTTTCTTGTAAACAGAATTTGGCAGAGAGACATTCACCCACAGGGGAAGAGGCAGGCACCAGCAGCTCCAGCACACCAAGAGGTGGTGTTTGCCTGGCAGAGAGCCTGGAGCATCTACACCTTGTGGACAGATGACCAGCATCCCGGGGACTCCCCGTGTTGTTAAAAGGCACGAAGAGAAACACACCACAAAGCACCCCAGTAAGCATGGACATCCCACCAGAAGCCTGAGCACTACCTGGCTCTCCTCACCACTGCTGGTGGAGGCAGGGGTCACCATTCCTACCAGCTGCTTGCTCCTGCTTTGCCAGGCAGGGACCATGGCTGAAGGCTGCGTCGTTACTCTAACGAACGTGGGAAGCCTCCTCCTGGCTGCAGCAATGGTCAGACTGTGCCTGCACTAGCCACAACTGGTCTGCTTCAGGGCTGTTTTACAAATTGACATTCTAACACAGAGGTAAATATGTCAGATGACACCACGCCTACCAAGTTTGGAGACTGATATTCTATTTTAAAACACTCCCAGATACACTATTTGTTAACGAAAGGCAGTTCAGAATGACCATCATAAGCAACATGCAGAACTTACTGAGCAACAATAAGTATTTAAGTACTTGGAAATTTTATTTTCTTTTTTTCCCCCCATCTTCCTGTTTACAAAGCAACGAAAATGTCAGTAGTCAGAGCAACACAATCCCTTCTTGTTCTGCCTGTGTCACTTATGGATGGTATTCAGAGCCCAAAAATAATTTTCTCATGGAATTCAGAGACAAGCCTGTTTGTTGGGTACCCTCTGGACCAGATGCTGCCCCAGAATCAATATCCACATGTTCCCTAGAAGTTTTGGCTAATTTGATGAACAAAAATTCATTGTTACTTCCTATCCTCAACCCAATGCTAATGCTTTTAAATTTACATCCTGAGGTCCTATATCATTACAGTAATAGGTAAAGAGCAGGCTGAGAATGAGAGGAAGTATCTCATTAGAGCAGGTGATCTAGGAGAGAACGGTCTGACAGACTCCAAATTCTTTCATGACTAATCAGCGCTACTCACCAGGGCAGGCAGCAAAATAACAAATTCGAAGGAAATTTCACACAGCTGGATAAACAAAAATGACTACTCAGGGCTCATCACTTACTGCAGTCCTCAGGACCCTAGAGACCTCTTCCCAGGTATCAAACCTGCTATGTTTGACCTCCCTAGATGAATGCCTTCCCAAGAGCTGAAACAATCCTGATCTTAAACTCACGTTAAACACGCACAGTTACAGTCATTCTTCTTCACAAGCCCTGCTCCTAAAACCCATTTCTGCTGAACAATAAGCCACCACTCAATATTTTGAATGCACACCTTGTCCTTCAGAGATCTTAACCCAGGGAAAGAAGGACAGAGAGCACAGAAGTAAGATGTCTACACCACAGTAGCCATCAGGCAGCAAAAGCATGGGAAGGGAGGGCAAGCACAGGTAGAGCTGACAAAGTTCAAGCAGAGCAGAGGTGAATTGTGGGCACATTGACAGCAGCCTGTCAGGGAACAGGGGGCTACTTCTTCAGGCACCATGAATTCTAGCCATGGCTCTTAGAAAGACATCTGCATCCTAGAGAAAGTGAGAGCAGGATTCACTGCTCAGTGCTGGTCACCTCTGAATGACAGACAGGCACTGGAAGGAACAGCCCTCCCAAGGAAACCAACCTGCTGTTGGAGGTACATCCGCTCTGTCTGGCAAATCTTTACTCAGCTTTGGGGCTTTGGTTTGTTAGGGGTCCACTTCTCAGGAGTCAAGATATATCCATCCATTTTTTTAAAGGATCTTTATCTCGCAAAGACCTTTTCTTTCCAGAGTTTTAACTTTTCCCCAAAACTCCAGCTGCATTCTTTCTGAGGAAGCTGCAGCCCAGCAAGCACATGGTGTGTCCAGTGCCCCTGTGGAACCAGCACTGCTGTCCCCAGGGCACACCAGTGCCAAACTGACCCAGCTGTGGTTAACCCAGCCTGCCCTACCAGCCTGCACATGTCCTGTCAGAGCATGTAACTGATGGAATATTCAGGCACCAGAATTGCTTGAGGCATATCAATCACTTTTCAATAAAACCAGATCTACAAAGTCTTTGTGGAGATACAAAGTGTTTACAAATACAAGAATTTATCTTGTAAAAAAAAAAAAAAGCAGTAATATACTACCATCCTCTTCACACACACCATCATCTCAGAGATTTAAGTATTTTAACTGGAGAAGAGGCTACACCTTCTCCAACGTAGGCACTTGGTTTGAACACAAAGCACCCTCTGAACCTGCTGCACCCCAGAGCTGTGCTGATGCCACCTTGGCAAGCACAGCCGTGTCACACTGCGGCACAGCTTGCCACATACATCCCCACACCTACCAGCAGACAGGCACCAGATATCAAATATGCTTTTCTTGGTGAAGTTTCAGAACTGGACTGAACAGACTGGGCTCCTCTTCCTTCTGTGAAAGTGCTCGGTGTATGATCATTTTTAATTTGCACAGGATGTAAAGTTCACCTGATTCCCCCACCAGCTTCCCCGGTAAGCTTCTCCTGTCCTCTGCCTGCCACCCCCTCTGAGGCTGGAACTACCCAACAAAGCCACTTCATCTTCCAAACTGACACTCCAAAGCACAGGTTGTCCAAAAAAGTCACATCATTCAGTGCTTCCCACCACCCAGCCTATACATGCACACAGAAAACTTCACATGCTGTTCTTCCTCCAAACAGAGGGTTTGTTATTTAGGGCAGAAAGCTCCTATTTATTCTTGAATTTATATGTAAACGACTTATCTGAAAACACACACCTTCATTTCTGTGGAAGAGCAGCAGGGTTTTCTGATATTCAGAGAACAACCTGATGTCATGTTTAATACCTGCCTTTAAGTCTCTCAACTTCTCATCACTGATTTCTCGTTTTTTAACTTTTCCTGTTCATGATCTCATGCCAGGGCAATTTCCCCTGCTCAAGCTATGGCTTGGTACCACGGTGGTAAGAACATGCGTGTTGAATTTCTCACTAGCATTTCTGGTATGGATGAACCTAAAAGGACAACTCAAAACAGCTCACAGCTTTGAGGCTCACACCCTAAGGAATTTTTTTTTTCCCCCAAGAGTAAGATAAAAATCAATAAATCATCTAATAATCCCTTCTTAAAATTATTCCTTACACAAGGATGATTACAGATTGCAAAATACTGATTGCAAGAAAGACATCTTTCAGCATACACTGGTTTTTTTCCACAAGATTTGGAATTACAAATAATTTGCTACTCGAAGATGAGAGATTTATGCTCAGGGATCCCATAATTTCTTTTGTGGTCTTCAAATAGTTTTCTTAGTTTCTGTAGGTATAATGCATGTAGCTGTTCAATCTCTTCAGTGGTGGGGTTCAAGTTCTGTTTTACAGGGATGGGGCTTCCCACTGTAAATCAAACAAAAGAGCAGCATTAGCTTCATTGGCATCTCTTTTGAGGTGGAACAGCTCTCCCTCCTGTAGCAGCTCCACCTGAGCTCCCAGTGAGGCCACAGCACCACAGCATAATTCTCTCGCCCCGGGGCCTGATCCTGCCTTTCACAAACCTGGGCCCTGGCTCTAGTTCTCCATTTCCTTTTGCTCAAGTTCAGATCAAATGAATTTAAACCCCCCATCGTTTCAGTTTGGCAGCAAAAGAGCTACTGAGGAAGGAGTTAAGCTCTAACTTGAAGGAGCAGTTTCACTTCAACATACAGTCCCATGGGCCACGTGCTGCCTTGCCAACAGGCTAGTACTCCACAAGTTCAAAATAGCATCTAAAAAAAACCTCAAAATGCACCTTCTCACCATTTTCTGTTCTGATCTGAATACTAATGCCATCCAACGTGAGGGACATGCCTAAGAGGACAGCGGTGCCCTCAAGCACACAGCCACATGAACAGGACTGAAGGAAATACAGATAAACTCTGATTTAATTAAAATGGGTATCACTGCACCAGCACCAGAAATGTTGTTGGTTACCTCAGTCAAGGGAGTGGTAGCTCATAAAACCCTCAAACCCTGGAAGGTGTCCCTGAACTATCCATTGCCCCCAAGCCTCATTCCAACTAAGATGTTCTCCAGGCACAAGGCAGAGCCTGGCACCTCCTCTGTTGGAGTGAGAGCAAGAGGGAGCATGGGAGGCAATTCCACAGAAGTCCAGAGGGCAGCCACCTCCTCTGCAAAAAGCTACAGCTGAAAAGCCTGCAATATGCTACGAGAAGCTTCCCATGATCTCAGACTTCCTTGCGTTGTTCAATCACCACGGATTTTGACAGCTGTTATTGCACTGGAGGCACCGAGAGCTTAATAGACCCAACCGAGATTACAGAGGAAGCCTGTAGAGAAACAGAGAGTTAAGAGCACCCTCCAGGAGCTTTTACAAAGGCACCTGAAAAACCCTTTCAGCAGATGTTGCCACTTCAAATTGGATGGTGTTGACTAAAAGGAAGGGAAGCCTGGCCAGAACCACAAAGGGGCTGATTCTGCATTTTCCTGCTGTAGCTTCAGCTGCCAACAGCTCTCGGGCCCTGCACGCTGCTGAAATTCAGACTTTACGTGGCTGGGGGTGGCAACCCAGCCCTGCACTGAGCAATACCTTAGTGGGGGTGGAATCCACACACATCCAATACAGGGTTTCGAGAAGCATGACTGGAAACACCAAACAACCCCCAAGCCCTTCTGCAGCGGTCTCTGCTCCTAAGAATGGAGGCTGCTTGTGGAGGCTACACTCATCTCTAGTTTTCTGTGCAGCTTTAAGCTATCTGCTTAATTTAATATTTTAGAGTTGATTCCACCATTTTCAGTAACAATTTTCAGGAAAACCAGAAGTACTCCACTTGTCAAGCTCAAAACCCTCAGACTTCACAGACCTTGGTTTTGCTGAATTGCATCTCCTCGCTTTAGGAATCACAGCTTCTGAACCAGGAGGAAACTCACTGATACCCAGCCATGTCACCATGGCTAATCGACTCAGGTGGAGCCCAACATGACTCTGCAGCTTTCAGGAGCTGAGCTAACACTTTCAAAGCCCTGTTGAGCCACACCGAGACCCTCCCCAAGAGTCCAGGAGGATGGAGATAGTTTTCAAACATGAGGAAACAGAGACATCAAAGGTAAGGGGTTTCTTGAGATCATACAACAAATTCTGCTGCATGACTCTGGTCTTGCTGATTTGAAGCGCTCCCGTGATTTATCCATGGGCCACTTCTGTCCTTGCAGAAATACTACAATGATGAAGATTTGCCCCAAAGTGAAAGATGTTTTAAGCTTCAGAACAGTCTTGATGTCATCAGCCCAAGGAAAACTGCAGAAAATACATTGCTCTCATTCCAGTGCTTTGAAAACTTTTTGGCTTTAAAATAATTGATATTTTTAGCCTGCCTGTGCACAACGTGGGCTTCAAAAATTAAATCTTTCCTAAAACATTTAGCTATATGCACTCATAAGGTACAGAGCTGCATGAAATTTAACATAGAAATAGCTACATTTTGGTCTTAAACATTTTTATTTGATCCCTACTAGAATCAAATCATCCCTTCATTAGAGGGAGGGCATTCTTAAATGTCCCTTGTGGATTATCAGAAAAGCTCAATGTACTTTTCTGTAGAAATACACTTCATTAGTTCACTCGGCTCAGAACCTAAAAATTATTTATCCAAAATATATGGTTGATGGTTGAACTAGATGATCTTTAAGGTTCTCTTCCAACCTAGACAATTATATGATTCTATATAGACAGCCAGCTATTCCCTTTGCACAATGCCCAGCACAACTTTTTCTTTTAAAGGTGTGGTTGTCAATAGCACTAGTTAAAGTCATTAAAAATCAAAAGACATTCAGTACTATACTCCAGCGAGAGCAGACAACCAGGGATGAAAGCTTTTTGGGAAAAAAAAAAAGTCTCTTCCAAACTGCCTGTCGACATGGCATGTATGCTCTCTATTAAACATGAATGGATCTTTCCTTGGGGAAAATATCTGAAGGGGAAGGAAACCCTCCAGGGAGCTGTGGTGGCCCCTAAGCAGCAGCCTGCTGAAGGGCTGTGCAGAGCTGCCACAAGGCATCTTCTCCCTTCCTTTCTCCATCCCTCCCCTGTCCCGATGGGCACTGAGTCAGGACTGCACCAGCTCCTTCCAGTAGCCTTGCTCTGGAGCACCGTGGCCGTGTATCAGCTGAGACACCCCACCATTCCATTTTTAAACATTTGCAAAAGCATTAGAAAAGGAACAGGGAACTTACCGACAGTATGAATAGGTTGCCTGTAAGGTATTAAGCCAAAACTGTATTGAAATACTCCTCTAGCATGGAAGAGCGGTAAGGCAAAGCCCATTATCTTTTGCAATTTCTCCTGTATGTTTCTGAGCCGGGAACCTTTGGGGTTTGCAACTTGCTTGAATAGTTCATTTTCACCAAAGGAGAACACCGGGACCAGATGAGCCCTGCAAAACAACAAACACACTGAGAACCCCCCAGCAGCCTGCACTCATGCTGGGGTTGACATCAGCAGCGTGGAAATGGTTTCACAAAAACCAGCACAGAAACCTTCAGCAGCTCAAGACTGCACCAGCAACGGGCATTCAGCTCTTCCGATACGCAGCTGCTTTGGGGGCTTGCAGTTTAAAAAAAAAACAAAAAAACAAACAAAAAAAAACCCCACAAGTGACTGGCATATAACTAGCAATGAGAAATGAGCAGTATTTAGCTGTGTACTACCCATCACAACATTTTATTACTGTTCATAGTAATAAAAATGAATAATTGTATACATCATAATTACGATTATGATCTTATCCACCACTATTTCAGCAGGTCCACCACTGCATTTTCTCCCTTGGCAAGCCAAGAAGCCTCACTGTTAACCTTAGAATGCTCCCAGCTGGGTGGCGTCAAAACCAGATCTTGGCTTTCTCCTGCCTTTTGACCAGGGTCATGCAGACACTTGATTTCAGCACAAAAACCGTGATACAAACCAGACACCCTTACAGACACCAGCGCAATGCCAAATTCCTCTGCTGGCCGGTTCCCAGTGAAATCCTGCTTCCTCCAGACTTCTTTGAAAACATCAGCCTTAATCCATTATTAGCAGAGGTCAAATCCTACCCACAGAAACGATACTAACTCACTTTGGCTCCTGCACAGCCTAATGAATTCTCATTCAGCTCATTAATTGGCTCGGGAAGAAAGGCCCTGACTAGCTCCTGGACAAACTGCTTCGGTGGCTGGAATCAGTGCAGTCATCTCCACAGGGCAAAACCACCACTACATGTAAAACCTTGACTGCAATATGCTTTTTGATTAATGCTTTGTTTCATTAAATTGTATTGTATTCTACAGAGTTTAAAGAGGAAAAAAAAGCACGGTAATCCTGAGCAGTCTCTGAAGGATGCAGAGGCGGTTTATTTGCTGTAAGTCTTAGCCTCTAAATCTTAGCTCCATTCAGCCCACACTGCCTTTGAGAAAACCCTTACTGCAAAATAGTGGTACTGCTGTAATGGTGTCAGGATTAATTACTGCAGAGCTCTGAATGCCTGAGGAAGATGCATTGAGGACAGAGCTGGCTGGAAAGTACTGTGGACAATCAAAATCCACCTGCATGGAGGAAACAGCTGCTTCTACAGCTTCTCAAGCCTGAGGAACTCCACAACTATCATTCCCACTCACTGTTCTGACCTGTGTCTGCTCAAAGGTTCTTTCTCAAACAGAGCATATATCACCCAGCCACCTGTAAAGGAAATATCAGAAAGCCTGGTACATACTGTAGCTGTGTAAATACTCCACATTTTACTACAACACTAAGACAAACAGGAACATCTTGTGGTGCAATAGCACCCTGAGACTGTGGGATTTGTTTTAATCTGGTGAAGGCTTTTGCAAGATGCTATGTAGGAGGTTGGGACAGAGAAATAAGTAACTTATGATTGTGAAACTAAAGATAAGTCAGCTGATTCATCATTTCTTTCATGTCTTTAGGATTTCTTCACTTCGCATCAGATAGCTGTACTATCTTGAACCAAGATGTCTCTTCCAGAAGTGCAGAGGACTTCTGCTGACATATTGAGACCACATTTGACGGGTTCATAGCTGAGGAACCACAGCTTCTCTGTGCCAGCAGTACAGGAGCCAGGGCCAGAGAGCACAGGTCTCCACATTGCCCCTGCTCTCTGCATTGCCCCTTCCTCTCTTGCTAGTCAATGCTGCAGATGTGGAGCACCAGAAACACATGCGGGCACCAACAGCAGGCGGTTCTTCTCACCTGCCTCCCACAAGCCTCCCTCACCCTTTCACTTCCATGTGAGTTGGAAGCTTGTTTCACATTTTGTTAATTGTTCGAAACAAAATGTTAAAACCAGAAGCAGAGTCTTTGGACAAGAGCTCAGGGCTGCCAACAGCGTTGCAAGATATGTAATGGCTGGAGTCATACTGTCCTACTGCCCCACAGCCCTGCTGGGTAGAAATGAAATCAGGATTCCTACGCTTCACATAGAAGTGTTTTTTCTTGCTGGTGCTCAGCCCCAGAATGACTTGTAGCCTGGTGGTTAAGGTGACCACGTGCGAGGTGTAGGTTTCAATACCTGTCTCTGCCCCAGTGACTTATCACCCTAGTGGAGGGCTCTAGACAACTAAGCCTCCTCTAAGAAAGAGGCTTAGTCTAGAAAAGCCTCATCTTTAAGAAGAGGAGGAACATAATTTGAAACAAAGGACTTCATTAGGAAAGAAGTGGCCATTCCTGTGTTTTGTAAGTGCCCTGATCTTGTTTTGTGTTGGGGATGCTTTTGAAATCAAGACCATGAGAGGCACAAGGTGTATCTAGTTTCTCAATCCAAATCAGTTTAGATGAGAGATAAACACCAACCTTTGTGATCTGACAGATCAGACATTTATGGACATGCTCAAAAAGGCACCTAAATATTCCCCCAAACTTTATGGTTAAAAAATAAGAACTATTGATCATGCTAAGGATCTCACTTAGGCACTAAAGTCCTAACTTAAATACACAAGTGTTGTTTCTGGGTGCAAATTAGACTAAAATGTTACCTTCCGTTGAAGAAGAGGTCCTTTATGAGTCTCCTAATGATATGTGTAAGAAGCCATCTCGGAATTTTGACACAGAATAGTTTCTCAACAAAAGAAACTTAGCATGCTGTCTGAAAAGAGAGCTCTTCTCAGACCACCTTTTTTCCAATCAATAGCTTATAAAACTGTTACGGATGTCTCAAGACTAGTATTTCCCCCCCCCCCCCCCCCCCCCCCCCGCCAAGGACTGCTCATCAGCTGATGGTTTTTTTACCTGCTCATCTTTTTTTTTTAGTAGGGAACAGAATGTTGCTTCTACAGGTCGTGATCTACCTATCTCAGTTCTCTTAAATGTAAAAATATCACATTTCTTCCAAGATACCCCCCCCCCCCATTGCTTTGCATGTCATTATCTCATCCTGGGAGCTGTTCCTGCAAACACTTTTTGAACAAGTCATTGATTCCAATATTTCCAGTATACAAGACATCTAGACCAGTTCAGCACAAATACAATAGCTTCTGCTGTGTAAATCGCTCAAAAGATACTAAGCCACCAGTGCATAACTACAAAGAGATGGTATATTTGACAGTAAAAAGTAAGCTCATCTTTCTTGAGATTTTCACCCAATAAAATCTCAGAAACTTACCTTTGCAAATAACAAATCTTCAAAAGAAAGTAATTAGAATAAAGGTGAAAACAAATCTTCCGAGACCACCATTTCCAGTGATTTAATAAAACAGGGCCTAGCTTTCTAAAATTTTTTGTTTGCTTAAAATGGTAAGAAAATTTTATGTTATTATAACCTCAATTTACAGAGCAGAAAACCGAATATCTGCTCCACTCAGTAATAACAGCCAAGGTTTACTGATATTGTTTCATAATTATTACACTTTGCTAGGGCAAAAAACAACTGAAACATAACATCAAGATATGCTAATAACACCTACTGCTTACAAATTATGAAAGTCAAAGGGAGTTTTCAACACTCCCAGATTGGATCTAGGTGGACAGACTGGCTCCCATGCCAGACATCTGCACGTTCTTAGACAAGTAATTCTTTCAAATTCTAATTATATGAGTTTACTATATATAATCTGAACGATTTAAGAATCAATCTGTGTTCCAAACATGCTTACTACAGCAGCCCAGATAGGAAACCTACCCATGTTTCAAGGCCATTTTAATAAAGCCCTTCCTGTTGAGGATGTTCAAAGTTAAGCTTCCAGGATGTGCATTCAGGGATTCCTCTGCTCCTCCGATCACAATGATGGACGCGTGGCCACCTCCTTTGTTATTCAGCACGTACGAGACACTCTCCTTGGATGCAGAAACCATTCCTTCAGGAGCAAACATTATAAGAGTGACCGCCGGATCTTCATGCGCAAGTACAGTAGTATTTAAGAAATATTTTTAAATGTCCAAATGATGTTTCAAAATTATTACAGCACAGGTCATGGTTCAAAGATTTGGGTTCAGCCCCCTCACACTGCAACAGATTTGGTCTTAAGTAAGTCTTTTGATTTCACACTGATGAGATAAATACTGTTTGCCTATCACAGGAGTTTTGAGATCTCGAGGGAAGACTGTGCTCTTCTACCAACTGAGCTCCCTCTCAGAGCGGTTCTGTGCTCAAGAACAGAAGAGCTCAACGTCAGCAGAGACTGCTGAGAGGCAGCAGCTAAAGCCGTACAGCAGGTGCATATAAACACAGGCACAGAGGGTTTAACAGAATGAACAGCGGACTTGTTAACTCCAACACGGATGTACAGTGCCAGGCTGATCCCCTTCACCCTCCTCAAAGCGATAAAGCAGCAGCTCCATCTAAGGCAATGTCATGGCAGCATCAGGAGGAGCAGAAAAGGCTCACTTGTACCACTCCCAGTGACTGCATCAGCTCATTCTCCAGTAACCAGGGCCTGGCACTCATCAATCTATTTAGGATAAAATAGCAGAATATATGAATAAGCTTTCCTGGTACTGCTGCTGATCCCAATGCTTCTAATCAGAGGGACAATGCTCTACGAAGATTTAACCTCAACTTACACCTTGCTCTGAACCTGGCGCTTTGAAAAATCCCCTTTCTAGCCCCTCCAGAGTCCTTTGTGCCATAAGTCTTACTTCAAAGACTCACAGTGGTACCATTTACCCAGAAGCCACATGATGTTGAATTAACATAGTCTAAATGACAATCTAGTGCTAAGCAGACTTCATCCCCTATTGCCTGTTTGCATTTTCCACCCCCCCCATTAGGGACATCACGATGTGGATCATTAAAATCTCACAAGAAAGGGAAGATGACTGTGATCTAGTTTTGAGATCTGGCCACCAAGAGAAATAACTTGCTACTGGAACGAGTTCAGACCTCAGTAAAAAAACTACTTCCATTTGCCATCTATGTCTCCACAGCCACTGTTACTCTGAGAAATGCAGCTGACCCAAGACTCACAAGCAATTTGAGTGATGCTTGTTCACCAGTCAAACTGCATTTCTCTGCAAGAGAAAGCAAGAGCCACTGTCTTCCCACAGGACAACTTCACCTCCTGCTGCAGCCCAGATGTCAGCCTGGGGAGAGCAGAGAGACAGCAGCCCGGTGGCTTCGGGGACAAGGGCTGGAGACAAACCAGCATGCCAGCAGCATGGCTTTCCGTACAGGGAAGATTTGGTAAGTGTTTTATTATACCAAAGGTACATCTGTTTTACCAGCTACATACCTGTGAAAAATGAGCTACAAGTCTGACTATTCTTTAGCATGCTTTTTACTCAAGTTATTTCTCATCTAGCAGATAAATAGTTGTTCCTATGGGTCAAGATGCCAAAAATGTGTAAAGCTGACTTGCAGGCTAGGCAACGTTTAAAACTGCCATCTTCCATCTTCCACCATTGCCAATCCTTCACTTTGGAAACCCGAAAGAATCCCCTCAGAAGTAACATTTGCATGGAAGGGTATGTTGAGAATTTGCATTCTCTGCTATGTTGAAGTACACATGGATATACAATTCTGATATTAATCTGAACAACATCCTAGGCATGTTTCTACAAATGGAGCAGTTGAATAGCTTCTGTGTTGCAACCAGGAATAAAAGCTAGATCTCTGTCTCCCAAACCTAGTCTTGTGCACCAGACCATACTTACTCAATACGAATTTATTTATCTTTTATTACTGCAGTACCAGTCGTGAGTATCACCCTTGTGTGACAAGTGCTACTCAGAACAGAGATTAAAAAAAAGGTTCCTGTCTTTAGAGTTTACATCTCCATTGAAATTACACAAATTTGCAATATGGAACCTCAGTCCAGTACCTACCCCAATAGGTAACTAACTTCTGACTACAAAGATATTCAGAATGAGTAGGACTTTAAGCCTTCCAGGTAAGAGATCATCTTCAATTTGTTTTACAAGTGTCTGTGCAGTGACTAAATAATGTTATAAGTGAAAATGTCCTTTTCTTCTTGTAAATAACTGGTACTCAGTACTGCTGTCTCATCATTGACTGGAAAACCAGCAATTTTTTTCAGAAAGAAAAAAAAGCTCAATGATACAGTTTAACAAAACTATTAATAAAACCTTTCCAACTGTTTCACAAAAACAGTTCACCATAAAACAGAGGTTTAATTTAGCACCAAAGCTGATCCTTCTGAAATGAAATTGCTTACCATTTACAGTTACAGGAATAGACCCTATGTTTGAAGCAGAAGCTATAACACAGAGCAATAGCTGAGACATTCTGCTTTTACCTACCAGCACTCATTATGTATTCTCTGAAGAAGGGACAGCCGAACCAGATGGGCATGATATGAAGATATGGAGTAAGCCCAGGAAATAAGTTTTTGAAACCTGAACCAGTACAAAAGTTTCCAAAGGCTCCAGCTACGAGGACCCCATGGGGGTGAAAGCCAAGTAAGTAGTTGTGTTTTGGACTCAGATCTGAAGTTTTTATAAGCTGAAAAACAGAGACAACGGAGAACATTATAACACCTCAGAAGGATTGTCAAAAACAAGTATGGAGATTGCACATTGACAAGACACAGAACTGATGACAATTCATTTCCTTCTAAGCCCTTTAAACTACTGTCCCATTTTACAGCTAGACAAAGTTTAAATAGATATGTCTCAAGAGATCATGTCTAGCATTTACTATGCTGAGGCACTACCTTGTGACCCAAGGCTCCAAGGTGAAAACCAGCCACTTCCCATTTTTGTCACTAAATCTCAAACTTCCTACACTTTAAAAAGAAGTTAAGTTCACCCGGGAATGTTAGAATTTTACCAAAGATGAGTCTTAGACATTTATCCATGCCCATGGCTCTCTCTGTTCCAGTGTTTACAGTTCTGTGAGAAACCGTTTACTCACATGAATGGGAAAGTATTCCCTAAAATACTTCCAAACAGTCCAGCTTCTGACCCACTGGTACCGCCTGCCCCCTGTGCATGGCGTGTCCCAGTCGACGTAGAGCCACAGCAGGTACAGAACAGCAAGGAACCAGAAGTTGCCCAGGATCAGGATCACGAAGAATCCACAGCAAACCTCCGCTGCAAGAAACAAAAAAGCAACACATAGTGAGCATGAATCACACCTGTCTTCTCCCCATGGTAAGGGTGAACACTAAAATTTGGTAAAGAGCATCTGGTTTACGTAAGGCAGAATGAATGGAGACAGCAGGAGTTAACAAAGACACGATGCTCTAGTGAGCAAGAAGGGAGGAGAGTAAGGGAGGAGGGGAAAGCGGCACACAGCAAGATCTCTTTTCTATCGGGAGCAGTTTCAGGCAATCATTTTCCCTTCCTGTTTCTTAATTTCTCTAGCTATAAAATAGGGATGGTAGTTCTACTCTCTGTGATTGGTACTAGACAAGACCAAAACATTAAGAGGTTCCATTTCAGCCTCTAAACATGACTCTGTAAGTGGAAACTCACCATTGCTATGGGAAAACAACAGCAGTTTTAAGTTCTGATACTTTCAGACCCAGGTTAGTAAGAACTGTAACATCCTACCACAATAACAATACACTGAGTTGTGTATAATACACCCTAAAAGCCAGAAAACGTTGTTTGATTAAACAGAATATGTTACTTTGGGGCTCAATCCTGAAATAATTACACAAACTCCCTAAGGAAACATTACCTTGGTAGGACTTGCAGAATTTTGTGCTCTTGCAGCAACTCAAGAAGCTCTGGCTGGAGCTGCTCTGAGGCAACAAAGCTCTTAGGGCAACAAAGATGATTGAGGGATTATAGCATCTCCCTGATGAGGAAAGGCTGAGAGACCTGGAACTCTTTAGCCTGGAGAAGAGAAGGCTGAGGGGAGACCTTATTAATGCTTACAAGTATCTAAAGGGTGGGTTGAAAGAGGATGGAACCAGACTCTTTTCAGTGGTTCCCAGTGACAGGACGAGGAGCAATGGGCACAAGCTGGAACATGGGAAGTTCCACTCAAATAGGAGGAAGAACTTCCTTCTGGTGAGGGTGCCAGAGCCCAGGAACAGGCTGCCCAGGGAGGTCATGGAGTCCCCTTCTCTGGAGATTTTCAAGCCCCACCTGGATGCAGTCCTGAGTGATGTGCTCTGGGCAGCCCTGCTTTGGCAGGGGAGTTGGACTGGATGGTCTCTGGAGGTCCCTTCCAACTCTGACAATTCCCTGAGTTGGCTGAAGAGCCATATGGCAGCACCCACTGCCCTCCCTGTCGCACACCTCAGCAGCCTGCACCCACCTTCCCTGCCATCAGGCTCACATGTCACGGTAATTCAGAAGTACCACAATTCTTTGTATGGCCCACAATTGACTGGCTTTCATGAAGGCAACGTCCTGTTAGGTCCTAAAAGGAGTTACATGAGTGAAACATATTGAGCTAAATACATAAGTAAATAGAACAAGAATAAAAAAAAATATAACAGAAGTACATCAGGCAATAATGACCAGAACTGAGGACTCTGAAATAAGCAAGTGGACCAACAGTAAAAACCCTTTATCCTAGTTAAGATCAGCTTCACTCAAGAGAGTGATTTCTTGAGCATTGAAAACTCACAGCAGATTCCCTACATCAAGCAAGTTTGAAGCTGCTGAAATCCAGAGCTTAACTTGGCCGAGGAGCACTCTTACGTTTCCTCCAACCTGAATACTTATTTCTTCTGAACTTCACCCAACTTTCCTGTGTGCTTAGTTTGACTATGCCTTCAGAGTAGAAATAAATATATTGTCACGGGACAACTGAGAACTACTGCAGAACCCAGAAGCAGGCAAAGCAAGCAGAGCTGCTGGTTGGATTGACTAGGAAAGAAAGGGATGAACATTCCCATTTCTGGCTGTGAATGAGCAGAAAAATAGGGAATTTTATTTGCTCCAGGGAAGGGAGAAGGGAACAACCATAAACAAAACCAAAAGTAGGACCAAATTGCCTGTTTTGAAGGATACTCTGTTCTTCAGTACCATCAATACAGAAGCTCATTGCTTCCTCCTTAAACAGGCAACCCTGATCTTGCACAGAGAAGCACCATAGTGAGAGCTCTAGAAAAATACCAGAGCTAAGGCCCACAGATCTACAAAGTCAATGTGGAAAACTCTCCAAAGCTGCAACAAGTCCTGGGGAACATCATTAATGCAGGACAAGTAACAAAGGTGTAAGATGATGCTGCATTCCACTGCTCTGGAGGGAGAACTCACTGGGAACCCCACACCAGCAATACTTCAAAATAGGGCACTGAAATATTTTGAGGAAAAGTCACTACCTGTTCTTTGAATAAGAGATCCTGAAACTATGGAAATTTCTAGGAATGCTAATCTGGACAGGATTTCAAGGTTCACAGTCTACATTTGAATAAGCATGAGAAGATTTTAATTGCCATAAATCAATTAATTTCAAGTTGTTATGCAGAAGTTGTTAAGTGTTTATATTTCCTACCATTCCTTTCTGAAGGACTTTTGGCTCAATGCAGAATCACATGTCTTTTTACTATCAGTTTCCTAGCCAAATACCTGAAAAGTGCTTTGGAACAAAGCATCCTTGCTGTGAGAGCTAATGAAATTAGCAGCAGTTAAGTGCCAGATAGCACTATTTATTACTATGCAGAAAAATAAACATGAAATCAACAAGTTCACCGCTTTGCTTTAGCCAGAACACATTCCTGTGTGCATGTAAGGTACGGGGAGATAAGTATGCTTTCAGCATGTCCTAAGGGGAGTTCAGCATCTTGTAGGACTAAGCTGATTTATTATTGCATTTGCAATGAGACACACAAAGCCAACTCCTTTTATCATACTTCCTTATTATTTCAATGCATTAACAGCCTGCAACAGGAGTTAAACACTGATGATTTAAAACCAATAAGCCTATAAACACAAAACCAGTGTTCCCTCCTTCAGAGAAGGCAGTGAGCAAATAGATGGCAACCATCTTACCTAATTCATAAACAAACTCCAGGCAAAAGGTGAATAACTGGGAATTCATCACTTTACTATGTCATGGCCTCCTTGGATGTAGTTCCAGCATACACTGCAAGCAGATTTTTTTTTGCTTGAACTTGAATTAAAGCTTTGAAAATACATCTGTGGTGTATTGGAACAGTGGGGATGAAAGGGAAGCAATATGAATTAAAAGACGAATCACCGCCATGGGACTCTGAACATCTGGTTTGTCAGCCAACATTGGCAAGTCCTTTTTCCTTCATTTCCCCATTTATAACATGTGGATACTTATCTGTTGCAAGAAATGGATGAAAAATATTATATAGAGTCTTAGCTAGCAGCACTGGCAGCCATCCTGCCCAATGCTGTTTGATGCTTTGCTCATTACATAGGCTCTGAGTTTGCAGCAGTGAGCAGCAAATTCATTAAATGTTAAATGCCACAGAGATAGAAGTAGGAAACCAGCAAATTGGATAGGGAAATACAGGTGGTCCCAGAAATAGGGAGCTCTGAATGCATTCGCAATTACTAAGGAGTCAAAAAATATTAAATATCTACTGTGAGGGCTGCCAAAGGTAAGACTGTCCACTAGAAGAAAAGCCTCCCATTACTGGATAACACCTTAGTCATTTGTTTTAGTTTTAGGTAGTCTTGCAAGGAGCATAGAGTTGGACTTGCTGATCTTTCTGGGTCCTTTCCAACTTGAGATATTCTATGATTTTATGATTCTATTCTCAGAACAGCCACAAACCTTGTCTGGCCAGTGCAGGTCTACCCTAAGTGGTCAGGGTACTCATCTCAATGCATTGAGCACGACCCATAGGACCCTGCAGAGCCAAGCAAAGCAGCTCACACTGCTTTGGAACAGAACATTGAGGGAACACACAAAGAGAATTGCACAGTGATACTTTCATCCCTAATGAACATTATCCCTCGAAGTATACTACTGATAAGTTCATTTTGGCGTTAAAAAAAACCAAAAACATTTCCCCTGCTTAGTGGATTCTTTCATTAGGAAAAAAAAAATAATTCCAGCCTTAATTTCTGGAAATACTTTCTAAATTATTCATGAACGGCAAAAAATCACAGAGAAGTGTAAATGAAATAACACATACAGCAAATTAACTCCAACAGTCCCACCACAGGAAGACCTGAGACAACAGACAGCACCTGAGAGGAGGCAATCTGCAAAGGCAGGAGTAACAAGTTCATGCCTCTGCAGAGTACTTGTCTGCAGCTTTTACACAGAAACCCCCTTAAAAAAAAAAAAAAATGAGTCATGTTAGTACTATCCTGTTTAGATCCTACTAGTCTGTGCAATTCTGCCAATAGACAGATTTCCACCAGCACCAGGGGAACTTGTTGCCACTTTCTACCCACGGCACATAGTAACTCCCCAGCAAAAATTCTATCACTGGGACTTTATTTAAACTAACTGCATTGGAAAATTGTTAAAGTCCACATGAATTTGGTAGCCAACCCCAAGACCAAAGCAGCAAGTAGGTCATTATTTGTTGAATACCTATCAGTCTCCTCCAGCACAGGTCCTTTCCTAATTACTTGGTCACAACTGGGAGCCCCAACCACAAGCATTCCGACCAAAGGAGCTGTATTTCAACACTACAATGATAACAAACACAAACCCTCAGATGCCAAGGTTTGAAAGCTGCTTTATAGGCTTGTTTACTCTGGAATTTGGTTGCAGTTCCCAAGCAAGCAGATCTTCCATTGACAAATACTGATAAACTAGAGATAGGGAGCGATAGGCACTATTGACTTGTAGAGTGGTCAGGATACAGCAAATCCCTGAGTTACTAATTACCAAATTCTGAGACAGCATGCCAGATGTAGTTTACATATTTACTGTTTCTTTTATTCCTTCTTAGGAATAAAAGCTATGTTCACATGCAGGTTGCCAAGCCAGGACCTGATGCAGCACAGCCATTTCTCTGTCCTTGTTCTTCTGAGATACAAACAAACACGTGCGGAGACACGGCTAAATTCCTCTCCCTAAGAGGTAGGTAACATAGGTAGAATTCCTAGAAATACTAGTCAGCCAAGCATCAGTAAGTACCCTGTTATTCTCTGTGATTACACAGGAGTCCCTGCCCATGAGCCAGCAATCAGCTTCAGGGATAGATGAGTACAGGCTGACAAAAACAAGCAGCAATGCCAACCAGCCTGCTAGCAAAGGCTCAGAGCTAAGTTTTCTTAGGTGTCAAAAGAGAGTGTTTTTATAAAAAAGGCTTTGAGGAAGAATGAGACCCTTTCAGTTAGCCAGCTACAGCTGATGAATTAAATCAGCGGCAGATAACAAAACATCATCACATGTTAGGGGAAAAGGTTATTTTTTGCTGTAGCACGTTACACTGACACCTGCTTTCTCAACACTTCAGGCACTTATTATTCCAGCAGCAATATTTCACTCTGTGGCAAATGTTTCATCTTTTCTATTATTTTGTAGAAGCCAGATCCACAACTCTGAACTGCCTCCAGCCAACTTAAATTAGCAGAGCACTTCATCCTACATGCACAGAAGCTTAATCACTAGAGAACAGGATGTACTTTAATACACACCGATGTCTTTAGCATATTATTTTGTGGCTTCATGCATATTCAAGGATACATTTTATTATGCACTGATATCTTATTATTAAGTATTTTGTAAATAAACAGGGGGGTGCATGCACAACAGTCACTTCCTAAGTCCCCAGTAAGGAGCCCAGCCACTGCTGAATCTAGAAAGTGAGCACAGGAGATGCACCATTCCCCACTACCACCACCTTGCCTCAAAACAAAATCCTGGGATCCTTGTCATAGGGCTAAACTCTCATTTCCATCTCTCTTTGTCTGGACCAGGACAACAGTTCCCCACACACACCAAGTTACCTAGTTCTGTATTCAATTTTGTACATGCTAAAATTGCACTGTCCCTTTTCATATCAAATGCAGGGAAGTTGGCAGAGGAGAAGCTCACCCACTCACCTTCTAGCTTTTTCTCCAAAACACTGTAATTTGATTTGTTTACATTAGAGAGGAAGAAAAACAAAGTGCTACAGCACCTGCAAAGCGGCACTTAAACCAAATCTCATTGATTTTTCTTTGTTTAAATTGTTTTGCCTTGAAAAGAACCCTTTGATCTACCCCCTGCCTGATACAAACTGAACCTCCCCCCAAGATGCGCAGTGGGGAGGCACACAGCTCACCCCTGCAGGGAACTTACCCACCCAGGGGAAATCACTGCCCATGACTCTGAGAGAGACAGAAAACCTACGCTGCCTCCGACCAGGAGGGTATCAGACATACTACTAATGGCAGCAAAACTAGTTTAGTCAAAGTTTTTAAGAAAATTATTTCCAAGCTTAAAATCAAAGATATCAGGCTCAACACCAGTGACACCTGTTTCATTCATTGACGGTGACAATTTCTGATGTACCATCAAACCTACAGGACAAAAATGGGAGCGACGTCACCTCTTGCTCCCAGTCGGTCCAGCAGCACTTACAGGCTTGGAGATTTCATTTCTCCAGGTGACTTTCTGCCTGGGGGTGGGCTGGAAAAAGGCACAGAGAGCCCACAAGCAGGTATCAGCTCACAGCTTCACAGGTGGACACAACGTGGGTGCCACACGAGGGTGGAACGCGGCCAGATCTGCCGCAGGACTGTCTTCAAGCTGATGAACCTCTAATAACAGTAATTACAGGCATAAAACTACATCTATCAAAATTGTCTGCTTCAACTTTTTTTTCCCAAAGTAGGTACTCTGAAATTGCAAAACTGTATATATTTGCTGTTTCAGTAGTGAAATGCTAATGACTTGAAATTATGCTTCAGCCTGAAGCTGGTTTGGATTTCTGCTTAACACGGCAAGAAACAGCATCATTTTAGTGTTTCCTGTTTTTCGGTTTTCGTGGCTTTAGTTTTCTAGGCTCCAGCCTGGTACCGCTCTTCTTTTAAGAGAAAGAATCCCATTTAAAACACTTTTTCATGGAACTGTACCTAAACCATTTCAGCCTGCTGCACTCAGAGCACATCAGAAAGGAAACCGTACGGCAGTTTCAGCTGGCACAGGGTGGGAAACTGTTAGATGGGGATTTCTCTCATCTAATCCAGCAGCTCTTAAACACAGATCACAGTATTTCAGAGCTTGTTTTTTTTGCTTCTGATGTCGTGCCCCTGGATAACTAACAGAAGAACCACTGCTACAATTGAAAACTTGTCTTTTCTGCTGGAGGGCGACCTTTGGCAGCTTGCAGCACAGAGCAGGGAAGCACAAGAACTTACAGCCGGAATCTTAAAGAGGTTCCTTTTGTATGTAATGAAATTCTGTGCGCATCTGTACAGCTTTTCTGCAGCAGAGGCATGTTTATTCTGCCTACGCTCTACTGCAGAAGCAACCTATCTGTAGTGCAGACCCAGCCCAAGCCAGGACACTGTGCAAAGAAGCCAAACTTTCTTGTTTGCAGGCTGCTACTGCAGCTATTTGCTCAGTGTTCATTGACTGATACGCTCTTTCTTCAAGTGGTGATGAGATCCACAGCCTTTAACAGCTATTGCATATACGTATGTAGGGCCAGCTTGGGAGTAGGCTTCAGTCACACAAGCAAGAGGGCACTTCCAATCAGCAATTCCACAGTCTCAGAAAGTCACACAGCATTACAACACAAGCCTGGAGAGCAAGGAGCAAGGACCAACACAATGTGCTTTTAACATTAAATTATGTTACTCTTAAAGGTCTCAGCCAGGAAGATAAAACCAATGCGTTGATTTTCAGAGTCTTATATCCAAGTCCCATTACAGATTCCAAGTTGTAACAGACTCACGTTCCTCTTACGGCTTACTCTGGCTGCCAAATCATCTTTTCACATGTCACTCCCCAGATTTAAAGGATATCGTTACCCAATTCAGCTTTTCCCTTTCAGGGCACTAATTCTTAGAGTTCTCTTACTTTATTTGTTAGTCCTATTGGTCCATTTTAGCAAGCCATGGCACCTCACCACATATCTAGATGGAAAACTTTAGGAACTAAGCCAATACCCTATGTATTCACTGCTCTAAACAGAATCCCTGTATCTACAATATGATTCATTAGTTATTACATGGTGTTATCTGTTCATGTTTTCACATGCAGATATTTTTATATAAGAAAGATTGAATCTACATAAGGTCTTGCTTCATATAAACTAGTTCCAGTCCAGCCATATGCCAACCCTCAAACAACACCTACCCCTCCATCCTATCCTGTGATGAATTCATACTTGTACAGGGACATCCCCTACATGATTTTAAAGTGTCACTTTTGAATTCAAGAGCTTACAAACAATGTTTCCCTTCTTTAAGTCATTTAGGATTCAGCCATCTGAATTTCACCTGAGTGAAACTTTTTGGCCAGGTGACTCCAACTGTCCTATGACTGAAAAGGTACACCCCCAAAACGACAAGGTCACCCTGGATAGCTCTAAAGATCAACATCCCCACAAAAGCACAAGCAGCTTATTATTACAAGAACCAATCTGTCCACCAAAGTATCAGCGTTCTTGCAAACAGATTTATCATGATCACACACACTCACTATATTCAACACAAGCAGCCATAAGACCACCTCTTTGTTGATCTTCCTTTACACTTATTCCCAAGCAGCTCCACCTGCAGAAGACAGCTGCCTGCTTCTCCAGCTGAACTGCATCAAGTGTGGATTTTCTGCAGCCCAGTCACTTCTAGTAAGCAAAGAAGGATGTGATTTTCTGCAGCAGCATTATTACCAACCAGGCTAGGATAAAAATTGTTTCCTTCCACTGCCGCTGAACTTCCATTGCATTATCATTAGGCTGGACTAATGGGATATACCAAGATCTAATCCAATAACAGCAGCACAGGCTATTTACAAGGTTGCCACAAACACAAACTGTTTACAGTCCAACCACATACAGTTTAGAGGTAACACAAAACAGCCAAGTGGTAAGGATAAATCTGTGAAGGTGCTTCATGCCCTCCATGCTTCCCCCACATACCCAAATCCTTTACATATGGGCTAAACAACCTAAAGGCAATTGTCTGAAAGACTCGAGACCACTATCTGAATGATACTATATTTGCAAGATGCACAAGGTAGATACGTGCACATTTTTCTCCTTGTAAATCCTAAAGCACAGACGATGGTAAAACACTCCAATATTTCAAATAACACACCGGCAGGCTGTCCCTTCAAACCGCAGAAGAGTTTTGTTCCATACAGACTATTCAATAACTGTTTGCCAATTTACACAATCCATGGATCTGGTCCCAGACAGCTGAGGCTTAGCTTACCTTACCTTATCAAGTGACTCATCAGGTTCGAGATAACTACCCATGAGAATAAGATCTGCTGCCGTGAATAAATGTTTAGTGATTGGAATCTATTAAGTTATTAGGAAATTTTACTATAAAGGAATCATGAGCTGAAAAAAGTTTACCAAGCAGAGTTGTCAGAAATAGTTTCTCAAAGCAAGCAAGGATGTTTTTAATAAATTCACAGAAGTGGTTGCATTTCAGCCAGTTCACTGACGATCCTTACTAATTTTCATCAGCTAGTTAAATGAGAATTTTATTGAACTACAGAATATAAAGTTATTTTACAAAAATCAGTAATGAAAACAGCCATTTGTCATGCGCCAGCCTTTACGGTCACATTCAGTAAAAAGTTGCTAGTTGTCAGAAACCTAGTGAGCACCTCAATGAGAAGACACGGTCACTAGTTTTTTAAGATTATATTGGAAAAACAGCCCATAGGAAGAAATAGTCCCCTCCAAGAAAAAAAAAAAAGAAAAAAGAAAAAAAGAAAAAAAAAAGAAAAAGCCATCCAGTTTTCAAGGAAGAGAAGCCCCGAGCCCAGGAGTGTGATGCTCTCGCCCGCCCGGGGATGGCTGGGAGCCGCTCGGCTGCCTCGCATCCCACGTGGAACCACAGGTGACACAGACCGATGCCCATGTGTGATGCCGGTAAAGGAAACAGCCGACATTTATTTTATCTCTCCGGGAGAGGGGCAGGGAGGAAGAAGGCTGTTACCCAGCAGGAGGAAGGAGAAGATCCACTGCAGCACAGCGACCGTCTGGAACCTCCTCTTCAGCGGGACGTTGATGGGGGCAAACTCGACCTTCATGCTGACGGCGGGAGAGCAGCGCAGGGAGACGCGGACCCGCCGGCTCCAGCCCCGCTCC